AGCTGAGACATCTCCTGCCTTCCTTTGATTTTCAATCCCAGCTGTCATATGAAATGAGCAAAATCACAAAAGCAGCTTTTTATAAGACAAGATCTGTTTCTCCCAAAATCAAAAGTTAGTGCTATTTGAATAGACATTCAAATAAAGATAAGGAACCAACACTATCAGAATTTTATGGAAAAGCATCAGGAAATAAAAGAGCAGATTTATGTCTTTCTACTCTTGAGCCAAAAAAAAAAAAGATTTAACTAATAGCTAAAATGTACCAGAATAATGAAAATAGCAAATTTTATTTTCTGTCCTTTGCTTTTGCTGCCAAACACCAATGAAAGTGATTTGTTAACTGTCGTTTCTACATCCTGCCAAGCCTTCCCCACATGAACCTGTCTCAGTAATGTTACTGAAACTGTTCTCTTGAAGATCACTATGACCGCTTTACATCTTTTCCTCATTTTATTGGAAAGTATAACACACAAACAGAAAATTGCATGAAACAAAAGCATCAATAATTTATCGCAAAGAAAGCACCTGTGTACCACCTTCCAGAACAGAAAATTGAACATTGTCAGCACCCCAGGAGCCTTCCCTCCTGTTTCTTCTCAATCACTAAGGCTTCCCCCGCCCTCAAAATGTTCTTTATAACTATGCCTAACTAACACTGGAGTTGAGTTTTCCCTGTTTCTCAGGTTTTTATAAACGCAATCATGTTTCTGCCTTATTGTGCAATTGTCTGGCTTCCATCGCTCAAAATTCTGATGAATAGTCACCCATGCCATTGCACACAATAGTAGTTCATTTATTTTTGTTGTACAGGTACTTGCATTGTATGACTGGCTATGCTGAAATTTTATTTACCCATGTTACTATTGATGTATATTTAGGATGTTTCCAGTTTTAACTATAATAAACAATGTTGCTAGGAACATTCTTTTACACTCTCTTAATGCACACAGACACACCTATCTGTTGGATAGCTAGGAGTAAAATATCAAGACCGTGGAGTGTACATATTGTAACACTCGTAGATAATTAGCAATTGTGCTAATGTCTATTTCACCAGCAATAGATGAAAGTTCTTGGTGTTCCAGGGACTTTCCAGAATTTGCAACTGTCAGTCATTGCAAGTTTAACCACTTTGGGGCGCACATTGTACCTCACTGTGCATTTAATTTGCAATTTCCTGATAAATAATAAGGCAAAGCACTTTTTGTGTACATTTATTGGCCATCGGATATCTTCTTTTGCAATATGCCTGTTCAACCTTCTTGGTTATTTTTCTGTTAAGTTATCTTTTCCTTGTTGATTTCTGGTGGTTCCTTATACAATCTGGATACAAGCCCTTTGTCAGTTACTTGTTCAGTAAATCTCTTCCGCCATTCTTGTTTTTTAGCTTCTTTATGAAATATCTTACCACTTAACGGCAACTTGGATTGTTTCCACTTTTAAGCCTCTATGGGTCATACTACTCTGTATATTCTTGTACATAAATGTGCACTCATGTTCCATTTTTCTTGGGTTAAGTAACTAGTAATGGGTTCTCTGGGTCAAAAATGTATGTGGTGTGTTAACAGGTGTATACACAAGCTTTCTTTTGGTTAGTGTTTGCATGCTATACCTTATCTCATCTTTTCTCACTTTTAATCTTACACTTTTGATGCATTTCTTATAAACTACATATAATTAACTTTTTGTCACATTCGACAAATTTTGAATACCAATTGGAGAATTAGTTCCTTTACAGTTAATATAATTAGTGATAGATTTGGGGTTATATTTACTATCATACTCCGTCCCTTCTATTTGTCTCATTTATTCTTTTTTTCTGCTTTTTTTTTG